CCGTCAACTATCAAATCTTTCATTACTCGGGGTCGGAAACGTGCTCCTATGGTTGATCTCACTGATATAATACCAGATATCATGTCACTCCCCAATGTTACAGTGCGTTATGTGCATTCGAATGTGAATCAGATTTTATCTGGTCATTGGTCAGTCTGTCACGACTATTTATTCGAAATAGGAAAAGTAGACAGCCCTTTGTGTACCTTGTGTACTGATGAAGATAATGAAGTTGTTGATGATATTGCCCATAGATTATTCGATTGCCAGAAATATGTGAGTATTCGCAATCAATGCTTCGGGTACTCTCGTATTGTGGCGGATAAAGACGACTTTGTGCGTAAAAACACTACTAATGTCGCACGGTTCGTTGCTTTAGCGAGAGGGCTTTAGCTTTATAGCATTATCATTGTCCTCTCCCTTCTCCATTCCGTCGAATGGTTTACGGACCGTAAAAAAAAAGTAAGACTCGGCTAAGCAATTGAATAGGCATTGGAAGCTGGCTCATGACCCGTCGGGTAACTCCTCAGGGATAAGGGCCAGAGAGAGAGAGAGAGCTCCTCTTTCTTTGTGGTTAGCCCAAGTTAGGCTGCCTGACTGTTTCCGTGCTTTTATGCATCCGGGGCATAGACTTAGGCATATCAAACAGTGTCATGAGGAGCCTTCAAGAGTGTGCATGGTTAACGACGATAATGTAGCTGAGTTAGTAAATGAGGTCCCCCTCTTGCCCCTTCGAAGGATTCCGCGGCTTCGAGATAGGTTAGCGGCCCGCTAATCTATTTCGCTAATAGCAGAGGATTCTATAAGTGTAGTAGGTGTGAGAGATGAGAGTGCTGCGGACATACTACTGCACCCGATTGAAAATGGGGATGGGACTTGGTCATGTCCCATCTGTTCTCAACTCTGAGAAGGGCATCACTAATCATGGTAATCGTATGCATAGAGTGTCCTTGATTACGTTTAGAGGCTTCGGAATATGTTTTTGGGAATGTACGACCGCAAGTAACTTGCGGCAAGTTGCGTGGGTGGATGAGGAGTTGTGAGGCCTTAGTCCTTTGCGGATGAGAGGCCTCCGGCCTACACCGGTACGCATCCGGTACGCCGTCTGCCGACCACAGGGATAACTGGCTTGTGGCAGCCAAGTGTTCATAGCAACGTTGATTATTGATCCTTCGGTGTCAGCTCTTCCTATCATTGAGACGCAGAAGTCTCAAAGTGTCGGATTGTTCACCCGCCAGTAGGGAACGTGAGCTGGGTTTAGACCGTCGTGAGACAGGTTAGTTTTACCCTACTGACGGAGACTCCGTCACGGAGTAGATACTACGACAGTAGTCGAAGTTAGCACTTGGTTAATACCGTTGTCTGAAAAAACAGTACGGCGAAGCTACCATCTCCTGGATGACGGCTGAATGCCTCTGAGCCGGAATCCATGCTGGATCAGCAGTGTTGTACACCATGCTCAATGCCAGAAGAAAAAAGCTAGGTCACAATTTGTCAATCTGTCAGTGACAAAGATTCAAGCTACTATACCTCTGGCTGCATTGATTTGTGGTCAGAGTGTATAGCGATCATAGCAATTGCAAGTTTTGGGCTCGATAAATCCTTTGAGGACGACTTATCCGGATATTGTAAGTGTTGAGAGGAGGCTTAGTCTTACGATCCACTGAGATTCATACCGTGTAGCGTCGATTTGTCTCCTAGTCTGTTTCCATTTATGAACTCCAATTTAAAAGGCAAACTACTCCACACTCAAGCCACACCCGAAGCCCGAGTCTCTCATGCGAGTGCCAATCCCTAGCCTGAAGCGGTAACTTACCCCTCGGTAAGAACGTTATTCAAGGAACGAAGGATTGGACATCGTCCAGGGGCGGTATGCGGATACTGATTCGAGAATCACAGGCACTGATTCAACTCACTATCTGATTTCCGATTTTGATTCAACTCACACCATGATTCACAAGTGTTGATTCAGATTCCGTATTCATGAGTACGATTCATGATTCGTGAGTATGATTACTGATTCCAAATTCAGATTCAGGATTCGCGAGTACGATTCCTGATTCCTGATTTCGCTCAAGCGTTGATTTCGATTCTTGATTCAGAATCATGATTCCTGATTCAGAATCATGATTCCTGATTCAGAATCATACTCAGCCATTGATTCTGATTGTGAACCAATGAGTCAGAGTATTTACTCAACCCAGTGAGTAAGAATCATGATTCTAGATTTTTTCAACGTGATTGTGATTCAAAACTCATACTCGTGAGTATTTTACTCAACTCGAGAACGCCAAAGATTCTCAACTTTGCTCGCTCATTGGTCCACTCCCTCTACTCAATTCTACAAAATACTCAACACTGCGGACGACCTGTTATCTGCTATCATTCAGTCATTTAGTTAGATGGGAGTAGTGGGTAGTGGAGTGAAAGCATCGCACGTTGCGACAGAAATCGAGTGGGACCCGAAAGTCCCAACCGCGAAATTCTGCGAATAATCATTCCCAAAATTGCAACAGTGGATGCTTCGCTCCGCGCGAGTAGTGGTAGCGAGGTTACATGAATCTCTAACCAGCCACAGTGAGTCAGGTCGATACTCTCTGGCTGACGACCCTCGCTTGACTACTCGTGCCTCCCAAACTAACTTCAACTGGATGCGGGTGGGTGGGTTCAGGAAAGTCCCCATTAACTAAATGATAACTGAATGCTTATCCATCCAAAACCCCAACCACAACACAAACCATTCGCTCGCTTGTTGACCTAGCCCAATAAATTGACCTTCATAGAATCTGATTTTTACTCAGCGTGTGATTCCGAATCATATTCACGCCGTGAGTATCTCCATTTTTCCACGTTATTTTGCCTTGATTCGTACCGGGGGTCCGGACCCTCGGTACCAAACCCTGATTCTGATTCTCGACCTTGATTCACGACTTCAGCGCGCGCCACGGTAAACCTCCTCTGCTGCTTGCGATGGCTTAGGTGCTTAGAATGACCGTGCCGGGGGATAGAACCTCGGCTTTGACCAAGTGAAAGTGTATCCTTGACCAGTTGAGCTGTGAGATTATACAATATAAGACAGTGCAAGGAGGTATAGCTATACTATAGCGCACGTAGTGCATACAGGGTATCAGTATAACCCTGCCCGGGAATAGAACCCCTGTTTCGAGCACGTGGAAGCACACCCTTAACCAGTTCAGCTATGGGATCACACGATACATAACGGTGGATGGAGGTTTAGGGCACGTAGTACATGCAACCACACGGTGTGAATTACGCATTCCTTAATTCAAACAATTATTCATAAAAACAATAAATGCCCTTCATCGATCCTCTTGCGGGATTGTCGGATTCCGAGTGAACATATTGAAAAGTTTGAAGTACGGATGTGTACACGTGCGACAAAAGATCTTCTTTCACAATTTTGTCATTGTTATAGCGGAACGGGAAATGCTCATGAATTTGGGGCGAATTTACCAGGTTCTACCCTCGCAAAGTGACATTTTCCTCCTTTCTTGAAAATGTCACTTTCGGATGTGGGGCGTAGCGACTATATTCTTCGTCTTGTCAAAAATGTCTGATCCAATCTCTGATCCCTGATTCTCGAAAATACTCAGATTTAATGGAATCACCCGAAAAATCAGCCTCATGAGCAAGGCATATTGAGTAAGAGTATTAATCAGCCAAAAAATCAACTTTAGATTCGCGAATCAGCTCGGAGATTCACATATCATCGCGATGATCCTGATTTCTCGCTCCAGAGTAGAAAATCAGCGAATCAGGGGTTAATACTCACCATCTGATTTTTTCATCTGAGTAAATACTCTGACTCACCCGTTGCATCAGGATCCGCATACGGCCCCAGCTAGGCGCATTGGTGTCACTAAATTTAGTGAGAACAAATAGTGATCTAGAACATCAAGTTTAGTGACAGCGTCTGGACATGCCTCTCTGTTCATTCGCAACTGAATCGCTTGGCAACGGTCCATTCGGACTAAACGTGCTATTCGGCAGCAACTGAATGAGAGACTTGTTTTCTATGACGTTTTCAGTCAAACAAGGCGACCAAGTCGAACTCCACTGTCGTATCCCAGAGATCATTCTTCAGCTTCATCGGAATAAGACTTGCAACTTTCGAGAGCAGCGTTATGCTTTTCTGCTTATCCGTCAACGTGTCGATATTCGGGTAACGGACAGCTGCAGGGAACTCACTGCCATCTACCGGTTCAAAGAGGTCTCCCGAATTTCATCAACTCCAGGGCAAACAGGGTGCGCTCCTGGAAGCGGCTGGGGGGGTGGCCTTCAGCGCGTCACCGAGGACGGTCATGCCGCCGTCTGCAGAGAAGTACTCGAGAGACTCGAGCAATTGAGACATGACGTTGTCGACGATGTTTGCCCCGTCCCCACGGTGGAGGCCCCACCACCAATGATGATGATGATGATGATGACGACGATAAGGATATTGCTGTACCAGCATCACCGATGTTCTCCTTCTCCGTCTTACTGCTGCTGTTGTTGTTAGGGATGCTCGATGATGATGATGATGATGATGACGGTGATGCTGTTGTTGATGATGATGTCCCAAAGCTGAGTACGAGAGTCGTGCAGCCAGACTGATATGATGATGATGATATTGGCAATAGCAATCTCAGTCAAAAAAGACAGTAAACTCTAGGAGCCGCGTAATACCAAGCATTAACTCAACATCTACTGCCACTGAGCAAGATACGATTCCTCCAGTTGCTGTAACAACAATACCCTAACTCCTCCTCGGCATCATCTCCTTCAACAATAACAATGCTGCTGCCGCAACACCTCAAGTGCTGGTGGCTAGGATAAAGTATGTAGCCATTCGGCTATCTACGAGAAAGCCAGAAGAAGACGGCTTAAAGGAGATGAAGGTGATGATGATGGTGGTGATGGTAGTAGTAGTAGTAAAGATGATTATGATGATGATAATTATGATGATGAAATGAACCATGTCAACAGCAGCATGTATGAGGTGCGTCGACTATATTGCTGAAAATAACATATTACATATTTTACACTAGAATAGTAGTGGCAGTAGTAGTAGTAGTGATAGAAGAAAACGACCAAGTCGATGTTGATACCAGCACAAAAGCCATTTCCCGCTTTCAGGAGGACAAAGTGTGATAACGAAAGGGAGTTGTAACGATATGAGAGGATAACGATAGACAAGGACTATGGCAACAGAAATAATTATACCACTAGAGACAGCAACAGCAACGGCAGCAGCAGCAGCAGCATACTATATTGAGAGATGCTTCAAGTATGCAAGGTGAGGGATAAGTTTTTCCAAATGCATTTGCATCAAAAACAACAGCGACAGCATATATGCGTCAGAGGCCTCCTTAGTAAATAGTGGCAGTCCGAAAATAATAACATGTGAAAATCGATCAACATCCATGAACATGAGAGGACAACGCTAGCTTCACCAGCTGCTACTCCTGTTGTTACTCCCTCACACTACTCGAGCCGTCTTACACTGTTGCTGAATTTTAGTCGTCATGAATGGTGCATTCACGTATCGGTCGTGGTGGTGATATAGTGGACAATATATCATACATCCCCCTTCCCTCCTCGGTTTTGTAGTACTGTTGTTGTAGTAGCTACACCCGCAGGGGACTGCTGAACCGCCCCACCAATATCGGGACTTCCTATTAGGTCTTCTTCTTGCTCAACCGTCAGTCCCGGTGGCAGTGACCCAGCAGAGGGCGACAATGGAGTGGATGCTTCTATTGAGGTACCGCTCATAACCGGCATCTGCATACCAGTAGGTGACAATGGAGGGGATGCTTCTATCGAGGTACCGTCCATAGCCGTCGGTAGACCAGTAGGTGACATTGGAGGGGATGCTTCTATTGGGGTACCGTCCATAGCAGTCGGTAGACCAGTAGGTGACATTGGAGGGGATGCTTCTATCGAGGTACCGTCCATAGCCGTCATCTGCATACCAGTAGGTGACATTGGAGGGGATGCTCCTATTGAGGTACCGTCCATAGCCGTCGGTAGACCAGTAGGCGACAATGGAGGGGATGCTTCTATCGAGGTACCGTCCATAGCCGTCGGTAGTCCAGTAGGCGACAATGGAGGGGATGCTCCTATTGAGGTACCGTCCATAGCCGTCGGTAGACCAGTAGGCGACAATGGAGGGGATGCTTCTATCGAGGTACCGTCCATAGCCGTCGGTAGACCAGTAGGCGACAATGGAGGGGATGCTTCTATCGAGGTACCGTCCATAGCCGTCGGTAGACCAGTAGGCGACAATGGAGGGGATGCTTCTATCGAGGTACCGTCCATAGCCGTCGGTAGACCAATAGGCGACAATGGAGGGGATGCTCCTATCGAGGTACCGTCCATAGCCGTCGGTAGTCCAGTAGGCGACAATGGAGGGGATGCTCCTATTGAGGTACCGTCCATAGCCGTCGGTAGTCCAGTAGGCGACAATGGAGGGGATGCTTCTATCGAGGTACCGTCCATAGCCGTCGGTAGTCCAGTAGGCGACATTGGAGGGGATGCTTCTATCGAGGTACCGTCAGATATCTTAGTATTCGCGTCCGGTGGGGCAGCCAAGGAAGAAAGCGATGGGATGGCATTCAGCAGCTCAGGAGGCCCTTCTCTCTGAAAAAAAGGAAAAATGATCTCACCGGGAATAGAACCTGCGCATCACTTGAGCTGGGGGATAGACAGATAAGTCCCCCAAAACTGTTGCTCCTCCAGCATCCCCTCCTTCCTCTGTTCCCGATTCCTTCATAAGCCCCACTGCCGCCATTGCCGCAGCCGCCACTTCTGCTGACGTCGCCGCAGCCACAGATCCTTCAGCTGATGATACAACCTATGAAGCAGACACACCTCGCTCTACCATCAAGAGCTCCTTGCATCCAACTATTCACCTTCTTTCCTTTCCCAGTTGCTGCCGCTTTCTTACCCGCTGCCGTCCGTTTCTTCTTAGTCGGACTCGCCGCCGCCACCTTCTGCTGACGACCCTCGCCCGGTTGCTTCCTCTTACCACCACCACCACCACCACCACGAGCAATTCCCATTAAAGTGCCACCCGGGTGGTGGAACCTATCATTACTACTGCTTCCGCCACTGCCAGCCGTCGTCACTGTAGTGCTTCCAGAATCGGTCGTCGTAAGACCCCCTCCGAACATGCTGCCTAGCTCCTCTCCTGGTATCTCAAATTCAATCGAGCACCTTTTTTTCGCCGCGATAACATCCCGCAGAATTTCGCCGGAAAAAGGATGCTCATTAACCCTCACAAGTCGCCAGCCCACCCGCACGCCAACACTCGCTGCTTGTCGCCCTGCATCTACTCCGACAACTCTATCTCCCAAGATTGATATTCCCAATGGTTGATAACTGTCGAATTCCATCCTTCTGTTGACCGCCATGCCACCAGAAGCCATCACCTCAGGCATGCGCCTAGACGAACCGGCCACCACAGCCTCAGCTATTGCCGCCCTCCTAGCTGCAGAGGAAGCCGCCGTCCTGCAATACTTCAACAACAACTGCACTGCAACGTGCAAGTCTGACTCAGTCGACATCCCATTACGCCTCGCTCTCTGAGCGGCTGGAGAGTCTCCACCAACGAGCTGATACCAAGGCACATTCGGACGGTAAGGGTTGGCGAGCTGTGTAACGTTGATGCCGAATTCTGTCGAGGCCAATGCTATAGACGTCAACGCCAATAAATGGGCATCAGCAAATAAACACAGCCGGGAGCTGTACCCCTGGAGGGCATATCTGAAAAATGCCACTTACTTTAGCGGAGCGAAGCAGCTGTGATAGGAACACTACCTTAATGCACTTCGTTCAAATATCGGAAGCCGTGAGGCATCCAAGATAGATGGGTGCGTCAGGTCGATGAGGGGCTTCAAATTCTAGACAAAATGAAAAAATTATACAAAAGAACACGCTTCGCTCCGCTCACTTTAACATAGGGATCGATCAAACTCGGAGCAACCTCATCAATAAGCGCCTTCGCCGGCAGATTGGCCAAAATGCTTTGCTGCAGGCGAGAGATGCCAACGAGCTCCGTCTCGGTGAGCTGACATAACGTCGCTAGTGATGATAGTGGTTGTGATGATGATGGAGCTTACACTATTGGGAGTGGTTGCTAACGTAAGGGCCATAAGGAGGGATTTCTGGTCTACTCTCCCACACTTATCCGCGTATAGCGAATTAATAACATGTGCTATAGAGAATACCACACCAGCAGCAACTTGCCATTCCTTAGAGTTCAACAATAGATTTCTCAGCTCCTGACAATAACATGAACAATTCCATCATAAAGACTACATCCCGAAACACCTACCCCCGCTGGTGATGTTGCCCTCGACCCTGCCATCGGCGAGCCTTTCCTCGGACTAGTGTTACCAGCACCAGGCAGCCCAGCTGTGGCTGCCGCGGCAGATGCTCGATGTAAACAAAGCATTCCCACTGCATGCCATATAGCAGCAGCCAGATCCCCCTTCTCCCTCATCTGTGGATTACATTGATAGAGTGCCCTGAACAACAACAACAACCACAACTTCAACCGTGATTATGATGATGAGTGTACCCTACCGTATAATGAGCTCCAACTGTTTACTCGTTGCCTGTGTCCATCGATCACTAGACATATCAAACTTGTCAACGA